TCTGTATATGGAGGTTAACGGGACACATATCTGTAAATGGAGGTTAACGGGACACATCTGTATATGGAGGTTAACGGGACACATATCTGTAAATGGAGGTTAACGGGACACGTCTGTATATGGAGGTTAACGGGACACACATCTGTAAATGGAGGTTAACGGGACACGTCTGTATATGGAGGTTAACGGGACACGTCTGTATATGGAGGTTAACGGGACACATATCTGTATATGGAGGTTAACGGGACACGTCTGTATATGGAGGTTAACTAGACACACATCTGTAAATAGAGGTTAACGGGACGCATATCTGTGTATCTCTTCAGGTTGATCTCAGGACCTCTATTGATCTCTGATCAGAGCTGAAACCAGGACAGAAATCACATCTCGTTATTTTCAGGCTGAACGACAACACGATTTATATCTCAGTTTTTTCTACATGTTCACAAACACGTTGATAAAAACACACAGAGATCAAAATAAAATACAGAGACGGGGATTTTATCTATTTTATTTTGAAAATATACAGCTGCAAAACATGTAAATGAACTATGATAGAAAATAAACGACAGGACAGGTAACTTTTTATTTTATTTTTAATAATTTACTTATTTTTAAATGATAACAGGGCTGTATGTTCACTTTTACTTAATTTATTTGTATTTATTTTTAAATATATAACGGCTATACGTCAACTTTTTATTTATTTATTTTATTTATTTTTAAGGATGAACTGGTGGATCATGTGTGAGAGGATGAACTGATGGATCGTGTGTGAGAGGATGAACTGATGGATCATGTGTGAGAGGATGAACTGATGGATCGTGTGTGAGAGGATGAACTGATGGTTCATGTTGTCCTCAGACGGTCCTTACGGTATCTTTGCGGGTCGGGACGCGTCCAGAGGCCTCGCCACCTTCTGCCTGGAGAAGGATGCCCTGAGGGACGAGTACGACGACCTGTCAGACCTCAACGCCGTCCAGATGGAGAGCGTGAGGGAGTGGGAGATGCAGTTTATGGGTACGTTTGTTCCTCATGTTCCCACCACAGATTAACACGTCCATTAGTCTTTGAGGTCACAGAGACATTCATTGTCTTCACTTCCTGTCTGTCCCACAATGTCTCTGTATGTCCCTGTCTGTCCCACAATGTCTCTGTATGTCCCTGTCTGTCCCACACTGATGACCTGAAACACTTAAGTTTAACTGCTGACAGACTCTGTGACACGTTACAGTCTGAACTACAGGTCACACACTGTTCCTCAGGTGTAACTTTGGGTTCTCACAGTCATTGAAATGCTGGAAAAGTCCTGGAATTGTATTTGGACTGAGGTAGTTACAGTAATCCTCTGTGGGTAACCTTCCCTGTAACGTAAAGGTGCGACATACAAAGCTGATGGTCCGCCGTCGCTCAGTGTTGGGCCGTCAGTGAGCGTCTGTCGTCCTTGTCAATGCAGTTTGTCCTCCACTGTTGCCCCTTGTCCCCCCCTTCGTCGCCCCCCTCGTCGGCCCCTTGTCGGAGCAGAAGGTATGTGCTGACATCTTTGCGGTGTGTTCAGGTGCAGCTTTTTGGTTGAGATACGGTGATGTCAGGCGACGCAGCAGGGGGCTCACGGTTACACCAAAACAAAGGCTGAAAACTGAATCGCTTCTCATTTTCATTTTGAAAAAGTTCTGCGTTCAGATGAAAACGTTTTGATAACAGTCTCTGTGCACACAGATCTGCAGAAATCACCAAAGCGCTGTAGTGTCCGTGTCAGGCCTGTAGGTGGCGGTGTGACTTTGTAATGAAATGACACACACCTGCGCACATGTGCTTCCTTCTACAGAGCAGTGATGTATAAACAAACAAAATGGCAACCGCACAAATGTTTGTCTGGGTGGACGACGAGGTGAAGCTGCTACAGTAAATCTACACGCTGATAGATTAAACAGTTTGAGCAGCACAACCAGAGCGCAGGAGGCCGCCATTGTTGTTGGGATGGTCGACTTCCTCGCACATGTCTAGTGACTGGAACTGTAATGAGCATGTGCAGAAAGTCTTCGTTTTCAGAGGAACTGCGTATTGCAAGTTTACATGACAACGGAGACATCGCTGTTTTAAAAAAAAAACGCACTCTGGAACCCATTTTCAAAACATTGAGTTTTCAGTCCCCAAAATGCCGCCGTCGTGTAAGCGACCAGCCGAATCACAACTAAAGTTAACTGTTGGAATCATCGTATAAACAGGACCTGAGACGCTGGAGAAGCACGAGGTGTCGGTGAGGTCACATCAGCGTTGTTACTCTCACCGTTCTTCACGTGTTCATCGTCCTGCAGATTGGCGACTTTTCTCAGGTGGTTAAAAACGTGTCATCACTCTGTTTTCACCTGTCTACTTATTGATGATGATAGAAGACGATCTGCACGTTATTTGATGATGATGATGTTTTACTGTACACTTGTTAATCACAGCAGCGTCACAGAGGCTGTTACAGGAAGTCCCTCCCTCCCTCTGACACACCACTGTGTGACCTCCTCCTTTCTGTCCCTGTCTTCCAGAAAAATACGATTACGTGGGGCGGTTGCTGAAGCCGGGCGACGAGCCGTCGGAGTACACGGACGAAGAGGACATCAAGGACCACCTGAAGCACGACTGAGGTTCATCACACCGACCAAAGCCAGGAGCCCCAAACAGCTGCGACAGACGGCCCCCGGCCCCCCACACCTCCTTCTGACACTCCTGTAACCTGCCCCGCCCCCCCCACTCCTCAACCTGTCCGCTGGCGTGGCGCCTCTGAAGGGCAGGACTCCCAGACCTCTGCCCCTCTTCCTCCCTCTTCATCTTGTGACCATGACCACCAACAGGAAGTCAGGGGGGAGGGGCTTGTGCCATTAGACCAATCTGAAAGTCACCCACCAAATCTCTTACTCATTTCTCTGGGGGGTGTCGGGGGGGACGTGTGGTGATGGTGGGCGCCGCTGAGCACCGGGTGGAGGTTGGTCAGACGTAGGAACACGTTGGTGGAAGACGATGGGACAGGAAGCAGATTGTCTGTTTTATCTTTGGTTTTGTCACATGATTGCAACTGAAACTGCTTCAGCTTAGGACGGCGCATCAATCAATCATTTCTCTTCTTCTTTCAATACCCCCCCCCCCTCCCCTCCCCCTCCCTCCTCACCGAGAGGGCGGAGCTGCAGCCTCAGACGCAGCGCCGTGGAGACGGGCAGGGCCTTTTCCTGTTGTGTTTGTAGTGACATCACTACTAGTTCTCTTTGTTTGTCACCATGTGATTGTATCTGTGGAGTAGCATAGAGGGGGAGGGGTGGGGGGAGGGGTCAAAGGTCCTCGCCATATGAAACCTGTTGATGAATGACATCATACGGACTGAACACAAAGGGAAGGTGACCATAAGGCAGTCCCAATCAATCCACTCATTTGTTTACACGCCTCCTGACAAGCGAAATGCCCCCAAAAAAGGTCCAAGTATTAATCGTGCCTTATTTAGTTTGTCGTGTCAGTGCTGAGCGTCAGAGAGGAGGTGGGCGGGGCGAAGGGATGGAGGCGGCGCTCCCCCAGACTCACTTCACCACCTGTAAATATTCCGTATGAATTCTCAGTGTTACTGCCATATTTCTGTCGGTGATGAACTCCATCGTGTAACTGCAACGTCGTATCGGCCAAAACCCCAAAAATGGTTTGCGTTCTTTCTTTGGTTCTTTTTAAATGTGGGTGAATCTCCAAAAAAAAACATAACAAAGAGGGCGGAGCTAAGAGCTGCAGGGCGGAGCTCAGAGCTGCAGGGCGGAGCTCAGAGCTGTAGGGCGGAGCTCAGAGCGGCAGGGCGGAGCTCAGAGCTGCAGGGCGGGACCGGGAGCTTATCTGTAAATATATCTATCATTTTATTAAAGCATGTGCAACAACAGTGAGCTATGCCGACTCTCCACCACGTCATGTATTTAAATGTTGGCTGTGTGTGTGTGTGTGTGTGTGTGTGTGTGTGTGTGTGTGTGACAGAGGCAGGAAGGGATTTGTTCATGCATAATAAATCAATTTGGTTAATAACTGAAGCCGTCTGGCGTTTCTTTGATCTGAGAGGCAGCTTTGGGAAATGTTTCTTTAAAAGGTTGAAACAGGAAGTGACGACGCAGAGACGCAGACGGACACACGGCCTTTAGGTAAACAACATAAAACTCATCATCATTAGAATGAATGAATGAATTCTCTACCTGTGAGTGTGTTCACATGAACAGGTTTTGCTGAGAACGTTTAGAGATCAGCTATGAACAAAATATTCAGTTGTAACTTCATGTATTCACAAACAAACTGATGTCATGTGTTCACAAACAAACTGACGACACATTCAGAGCTGAAGTTTCACTGTAACAGGAAGATGTTTAACATTGATGGTTAAATGACAGCAGCTCAGAAGGGACAAATATAATGAATATCAGATCATTCAGCCAGTCACCAGCTCACATCATTCAGCCAGTCACCAACTCAGATCATTCAGCCAGTCACCAACTCAGATCATTCAGCCAGTCACCAGATCAGTTCATTCAGCCAGTCACCAGCTCAAATCATTCAGCCACTCACCAGATCAGTTCATTCAGCCACTCACCAGATCAGTTCATTCAGCCACTCACCAGCTCAGATCATTCAGCCTGTCACCAGATCAGATCATTCAGCCAGTCACCAGCTCAGATCAGTTCATTCAGCCTGTCACCAGCTCAGATCATTCAGCCAGTCACCACATCAGATCATTTAGCCAGTCACCAGATCAGTTCATTCAGCCTGTCACCAGATCAGTTCATTCAGCCAGTCACCAGCTCAGATCATTCAGCCTGTCACCAGATCAGATCATTCAGCCAGTCACCAGCTCAGATCATTCAGCCAGTCACCAGATCAGATCATTCAGCCTGTCACCAGCTCAGATCATTCAGCCAGTCACCAGATCAGATCATTCAGCCAGTCACCAGATCAGTTCATTCAGCCAGTCACCAGATCAGTTCATTCAGCCAGTCATCAGCTCAGATCATTCAGCCAGTCACCAGATCAGTTCATTCAGCCTGTCACCAGCTCAGATCATTCAGCCAGTCACCACATCAGATCATTCAGCCAGTCACCAGCTCAGATCATTCAGCCAGTCACCGGATCAGATCATTTAGCCAGTCACCACATCAGATCATTCAGCCAGTCACCAGCTCAGATCATTCAGCCAGTCACCAACTCAGATCATTCAGCCTGTCACCAGCTCAGATCATTCAACCTGTCACCAGCTCAGATCATTCAGCCAGTCACCAGCTCAGATCATTCAGCCAGTCACCAGATCAGATCATTCAGCCTGTCACCAGCTCAGATCATTCACCTCGTCACCAGCTCAGATCATTCAGCCAGTCACCAGCTCAGATCATTCAGCCTGTCACCAGATGTTTTTAAAGATGAATTTTTAAATACGTTAATGTGAAAACATGATTTAATGACAGGAACATTTTTATGAATCAGTGAATCACTGACAGGTTAAAAACAATCTGAGGACATTTTGTTCTTTATTGAGTTTTAACATTTTATGTCACTTTATCTTTCATCATCATCATCATCATCATCATCACCACCATCATCTTCATCTTCATCATCACAGACATGTTCACTGAGGTGGAGATGGGACCGAGTTCAGAGTAAAAATAAACCTCTCTGTCATCATCATCACCATCATCATCACCACAGCTCAACAGCGCCCCCAGTGCTCCTCCTGGTGACCTGCAGCTCCTCTCACTCACTTATGTTTCTGAGTTACACTGTTGTTTCTATCGGCCATCACACACACAGCAGCCTCAGAGCCTCAGACCCGGAGCAGGGGGACTTAAATCCGCCGAACATCTCACTTTATCACCGACAGACAGACAGACAGCTGATGCTGAACGCAACACGACATCTGAGCTTATCTGGGTTAAAACAAACGTAAAACCTCCGCCTGCCCCGCTCAGGATCAGACCATCTTTAAATCTGACAACAGACTAAACTCCTCCGATAAATCCTCGAGGACCGGAGCTTCTTCCAGGCGACACATCCGGTGAGCGATGATCCGATAAACAGGATGTTTATTCGGATTCATTCAAACAGAACTTCATGAATTCCTTTTTATGAATTAACGGTCTGATGTGTGTGATCTGTGTGTGTGTGTGTGTGTGTGTCTGTGTCTGTGTGTCTGTGTGTGCAGTTAGGGGCTGTTGTGTACTAATCAGCAGTGTGACTCTCCAACATAAATCAGTTTTTAGATTTTTGATGTTTAAAGTTAAAAGTTAAAAAAGTCTCATTTTTTCACTCGTTGTTTAAACAGTTTAATTTTGAATACATGTTAAATGAGACACAGAACAAAGTGATGCTGATGAAATGTCACCATTTTAAGATCAGATGTGGGTCATCACATGATGTGTTCAAAGACTGTGGGAAATCAGAAAATCCAACAATAATTTGTGGTTTTATAGTTTTATAGTTTATTTTGGTACCGCCCCCCCCCCCCATCAGTCCCTAATGGCGGAGCATCTGTCCCAGAGTGAGCTCGACTATCCCTTCAAACTGCTGGAGTATTTCAACGGCTTCAGACTGTCAAAGGTAAAAATTGAACCCCTCATTTATTATTTAAGTTTCTGTCAGTGTTGTCACAGAGTCTGTTACTGATCAATATGATCTATAAACTGATCAATATGATCTATAAACTGTTTGATATGATCTATAAACTGATCAATATGATCTATAAACTGTTTGATGTGATCCATATGATCTATAAACTGTTTGATATGATCAATATGATCTATAAACTGATCAATATGATCTACAAACTGTTTGATGTGATCAATATGATCTATAAACTGATCAATATGATCTACAAACTGTTTGATGTGATCAATGTGATCTATAAACTGATCAATATGATCTATAAACTGTTTGATGTGATCAATATGATCTATAAACTGTTTGATATGATCAATATGATCTATAAACTGATCAATATGATCTATAAACTGTTTGATGTGATCAATATGATCTATAAACTGATCAATATGATCTACAAACTGTTTGATGTGATCAATATGATCTATAAACTGATCAATATGATCTACAAACTGTTTGATGTGATCAATATGATCTATAAACTGATCAATATGATCTACAAACTGTTTGATGTGATCAATATGATCTATAAACTGATCAATATGATCTACAAACTGTTTGATGTGATCAATATGATCTATAAACTGATCAATATGATCTATAAACTGTTTGATGTGATCAATATGATCTATAAACTGATCAATATGATCTACAAACTGTTTGATGTGATCAATATGATCTATAAACTGATCAATATGATCTACAAACTGTTTGATGTGATCAATATGATCTATAAACTGATCAATATGATCTACAAACTGTTTGATGTGATCAATATGATCTATAAACTGATCAATATGATCTACAAACTGTTTGATGTGATCAATATGATCTATAAACTGATCAATATGATCTACAAACTGTTTGATGTGATCAATATGATCTATAAACTGATCAATATGATCTATAAACTGTTTGATGTGATCAATATGATCTATAAACTGATCAATATGATCTACAAACTGTTTGATGTGATCAATATGATCTATAAACTGATCAATATGATCTACAAACTGTTTGATGTGATCAATATGATCTATAAACTGATCCATATGATCTATAAACTGTTTGATGTGATCTATAAACTGATCAATATGATCTACAAACTGTTTGATGTGATCAATATGATCTATAAACTGTTTGATGTGATCTATAAACTGATCAATATGATCTATAAACTGTTTGATGTGATCCATATGATCTATAAACTGTTTGATATGATCAATATGATCTATAAACTGATCAATATGATCTACAAACTGTTTGATGTGATCAATATGATCTATAAACTGATCAATATGATCTATATATTGATGTGCAGGTGTTGCTGTGTCTCTGCTGCAGGTGATATTCTCAGCCTGTGAACTCGGAGTCTTCGACCTCCTGTTAAAGTCTCAGGAGCCGCTCAGCGCTCAACATGTGGCTCAAGAGCTCAGAACCAGTGAGGATGGGATGGAGAGGCTACTGGACGCACTGGTGGGCATCGAGATACTGGAGGTGGAGAACATGGACGGGACAGGTGAGGAGGAGGAGGAGGAGGAGGAAGGGGAAGAGGGGGTGATGGTGATGATGATGGTGGTGATGAATATGATGATGATGATGATGATGATGATGTGTCCATGTGTCTCAGCTGTGTACAGCAGTACAGACGTGGCAAACCTGTATCTGGCCAAAGGAAGCAGCAAGTCTCTGCACGACATGATCATCTACCAATCACAGACCATCTACCCTCTGTGGAACAACATGGTGGACGCTGTCAGGTCAGTGGGGCATCATGGGAGTTTCAGGTCCTGTGTCTGTGATCAGATTAATGTAGGACTGTGTGGAGATGAATCTGATGTTCAGAGCTGAGGTCAAAGGTCACAACAGCAGGGTCATGTAGATGTAGGAAACATGGAGGACAACAGTGAAGGTCCCATGTTCTTTGGTTAGGGTTGGGGTTGGGTCTGGAACAGGACCAGTTAGGGTTAGGGTTGGGTCTGGAACTGAACCAGTTAGGGCTGGTTCATGATGGTAGAGAAAAGGGGAATGGATTCAGTGACCTCTGCACAACCTCACTTCCTGTCAGGAGGATGGTGAAGCTCACATGACACAGGTTAAGGCTCAGTGTGTTCATCAGGACCAGAGTGATTCATGTCTCTGAGGCTGCACAGGAAGTTCAGATTGTCCTCTCAGACTGAAGCAGAGAAGAAGACATAGAACAGTCAGAGACATGGAGGTTCTCCAACAGCACCTCCATCACACATGTTGACACAGCTGAACTAACATGTCAACCATCTTCATCTTACATGAGCACGCACACATTACTCTTCTTCTCCCCACGTCACAGGGAGGGCAGGAACCAGAATGAGAAGACCTTCGGCCTTCCTCCAGAGGATGTCTTCCAGGCCATATACAGGTCAGAGCTGATGTCAGGTGATTAAACGTGTTGACGAGTTGTCTGTCTGCAGAGTTTCACTCCTCTGTTAACTCCTCTCTCCAGGTCAGAGGAGGAGATGCTGAAGTTCATGGGTCTGATGAACTCCTCCTGGGTTCTGGATGGACACGACATCGTGACGGCGTTCAACCTCTCCTGCTTTCAGAACATCGTTGATCTGGGAGGTGAGAGGTTAAACTGCGACCTGAGAACAAGACGAACCTACAAGTTCATGCTTTGACTTCCTGTTGACATCATTGTGTCTGAATAACTCCCAGGATGCACTGGGGCTCTGGCCCATGAGATGGTGAAGGCGTACCCGTCCTCCTCCGTCACGGTGTTTGACCTCCCGCAAGTGGTTGAGATGGCCCAGAAACATTTCTGTCAGGAGGACGACGCCGTGCTCTTCCAGAGCGGTGAGTCTTTGCTCCTAATAAAGTGGCAGCTGAGTCTCATTTACAGGTTATTAATTATAATAAACTAACATCAGAACTCCTCCGAGAACCGTCACCTTATCGTGGTGGAGGAGTTTGAGTGCCCTAATGACCCAAGGAGTTATGCTGTCAGGGGCATTTTGCCCCTGGTAGGGTCTCCCATGGCAGATTGGTTCTGGGCGAAGGGTCAGACAAAGAACAGTTCAAAAGACCCTTCATGATGGACAACAACAAGGAAACGTGTACCCGGCCCAGAGGGTTACTGGGGCCCCGCCCTGGAGCCAGGCCTGGGGCTGGGGCACTTGGGCGAGTACCTGGTGGCTGGGCCTTCGCCCATGGTGTCGGGCCGGGCCCAGCCTGAACCAGCTACATGGGCTCGTCCCCCTGCAGGCCCACCACCCGCAGAGGGATCCACAAGGGATCGGTGCATTGTGAATCGGGCAGCAGTCCAAGGTGGGGGCCTTGGCGGTCTGATCCTCGGCTACAGAAGTTGGCTCTTGGGACATAGAATGTCACCTCTCTGGCGGGGAAGGAGCCGGAGCCGGTTGAGCGCCACCGGCTAGACATAGTCGGCCTCACCTCGACACATTGTTCCGGCTCTGGAACCCAAGTCCTTGAGAGTGGTTGGACTCTCCCCTTCGCTGGAGTTGCTCCGGGTGAGAGGCCGAGGGCAGGGGTGGGCTTTCTGATAGCCCCCAGACTCTCTGCCTGTACGTTGGGGTTTACCCCAGTAGACGAAAGGGTTGCTTCCCTGCGCCTTTGGTCTGTGCTAATGCTTCGAACAGCAGCTCAGAGTACCCGCCCTTTTTGGAGTCCCTTGGACAGGTTCTGGATAGTGCCCCGACCGGGGACTCCATTGTTCTGCTGGGGGACTTAAACGCTCAAGAGGGAAAAGAAAGCAGGACCTGGAGGGGAGTGATTGGGAGGAACAGCATGCCCAATCTGAACCCGAGTGGTGTTCAGTTATTGGACTTCTGTGCGGGTCGCAGTTTGGCCATAACTAACACCATGTTACGAGCATAAGGATGTCCATCGGTGCACGTGGCACCAGGATAGCCTAGGTCGCAGGTCAATGCTTGACTTTGTAGTCGTGTCATTTGACCTGTGGCCATATGTTATGGACACTCGGGTGAAGAGAGGAGCAGAGTTGTCAACTGATCACCACCTGGTGGTGAATTGGATCAGATGGCAGGGGAGGATGCTGCGCAGACCTGGCAGGCCCAATGAAGTAGATAGGGTCTGCTGGGAACGCCTGGCGGAAGAACCTGTCAAGATGATCTTCAACTCCCACCTCTGGGAGAGCTTCGACCGCGTCCCGAGGGCAGAGGGGGACATTGAGTCTGAATGGGCCTTGTTCCACTCTGCCATTGTCGAGGCTGGGGCCAGTCGCGGCGGTAATCCCCAGGGCATGGTTAGTCTGTGGGTCTCCAGAAGCAGCTGATGGGTACCGGCAAGCCAAGCGAAGTGCAGCAGCAGCAGTCCTGGAGGCAAAAACTCGGGCGTGGGAGGAGTTCAGTGAGGCCATGGTGAAAGACTATCGATTGACTCCAAAGAGGTTCTGGCAAACTGTCCAGCGCCTCAGGGGAGGAAGGCAGCAACAAACATAGCCAGGGGTCTGGGGGTCGGGTCGTCCAATTTCTGGGGCAGAAGTTGCCGAGGTAGTGAAGCAACTCCGCGGCGGCAGAGCCCCGGGGGTGGATGAGATTCGCCCTGGATATCTCAAGGCTCTGGATGTTGTAGGGCTATCCTGGTTGACACGCCTCTGCAACATTGCGTGGACATCGGGGGCAGTGCCTCTGGAGTGGCAGACCGGGGTGGTGGTCCCCATCTTCAAGAAAGGGGACCAGAGGGTGTGTTCCAACTACAGGGGATCACACTCCTCTGCCTACCCGGTAAGGTCTACTCCAGGGTGTTGAAGAAGAGGATCCGGTTGATAGTTGAAACTCAGATTGAGGAGGAGCAATGTGGTTTTCGTCCCGGACATGGAACCGTGGACCAGCTCTTTACCCTCGCCAGGGTGCTGGAGGGGGCATGGGAGTTTGCCCAACCAGTCCACATGTGTTTTGTGGATTTGGAGAAAGCTTACGACCGTGTCCCCAGGGGCATCCTGTGGGGGGTGCTCCGGGAGTATGGGGTTGGTGGCCCCATCAGAACCTCCTCCGTGTTTAACACCACACGGGTTATTATTTATAATGAACTAAACATCAGAACCTCCTCCGTGTTTAACACCACACGGGTTATTAATAATAATAAACTAAACATCAGAACCTCCTCCGTGTTTAACACCACACGGGTTATTAATTATAATAAACTAACATCAGAACCTCCTCTGTGTTTAACACCACACGAGTTATTAATTATAATAAACTTAACATCAGAACCTCCTCCGTGTTTAACACCACATGGGTTATTAATTATAATAAACTAAACAGGCTGTGTTCCACGATCTGTGTTAGTCTGAGGGAGGTGTTCCTTCATTTAAACAGATGTCTTGACGTCTTGCAGGAGATTTCTTCAGCGGTGAGGTTCCTCCTGCTGACCTCTACATTCTGGCCCGAATCCTCCATGACTGGCCTGAGGAGAAGTGTCTGACGCTGCTGAGGAAGATCTACCACACCTGCAGGCCAGGTGAGTCCTACTGTGTGTGTCCACTGTGTGATTCTGGTCTGTCCCAGACTAAAGACGACCAGCGGTAAAGAAACGTGGTGATATCTCTGGTTGTCCTACGTCACACAGTCAGAGAGGTTCAAACATGGTCGTTGTTACAGTCTGTGATCAAAGACAGCCTGGGATCAAATTCTGACTGTGTGATGTTGTCACCACCAATGTCTACTAACCAACCAATAGAAATGCAGCATGACGTCAGCGCCACAATGCTAAATGCTAATAGATGCTAATAAATACACTTCAAGCTCTTGTTACAAAATTTTGTTGGCCTCTGTTCCTCCATCACATCCTCACTGTGACCTCGTCACAAATGTGTATAAATGTGTATGAATGTGTATAAATGTGTCTGAATGTGTATGAATGTGAATAAATGTGTCTAAATGTGTATGAATGTGAATAAATGTGTTTGAATGTGTATAAATGTGTATAAATGTGTATAAATGTGTCTGAATGTGTATAAATGTGTCTGAATGTGTATGAATGTGAATAAATGTGTCTAAATGTGTGTAAATGTGTATGAATGTAAATAAATGTGTCTAAATGTGTATGAATGTGTCTGAATGTGTACAAATGGGTATGAATGTGTATAAATGTGTATAAATGTGTCTGAATGTGTATAAATGTGTCTGAATGTGTATGAATGTGAATAAATGTGTCAAAATGTGTATAAATGTGTCTGAATGTGTATAAATGTGTTTGAATTAGTATAAATGTGTATAAATGTGATGTGTATGAATGTGTCTGAATGTGTATGGATGTGTATGAATGTGTATAAATGTGTCTGAATGTGTATAAATGTGTCTGAAT